ATTTCAACAAAAAGTATCACACATCTCATGCTTCAAAAAGAGAGTGCGCGTCATGAATCAAACCGCCATCGCTTATCGTCCCCTTCCACCATGCGCGCATCGAGCACCATCAAGCACAGCTACGAATTCGGTGAAGTTAGAAGTATTGAAGACGAAGTGCGAAGAAGAGAATACAGCATCCTCCTGACAGCAAAACTTTCTTCCCAAACACGGGCCCCTCACAGTTTGCTGGCTGAAAGGCCCCTGTGAGTTTGATGGCTTCGTGTTCTTACACTATGTATGGTCCAACATTTAATTTGTAAAACACTTCGAAAAGCCCCTGGCAGTTTGCTGGCCACTGGCCCCTGTCAGTTTGCTGGCTTTGGAAATACAGTCATTTTTTGGCAAAGCAAAAGTGAAAAGAACATAACTGTCCTGCTTTTCAGCATCACTGACCAAGCCTATGAACTTATAGCCCTTAGGATTGCTGCACATCTTCTGGAGAAACTTCATCTCGTCCCATCTTTGCCATTTGCTCAACGGACAGCTCATCGCTGAATCAATGGCTTTGGCCAGGTCATTCTCTTCCTGCCGAAAAGCATCCGAAAGCCATACATGCCTGATGGATGCCACGGCTGGCTTGAAGGCCATGGCCGCACCCTCCACACCTTCTGAGCACAAGTACGTCACATTGCAGATTGTTTTGCCTGTCAAACCTGCTATGGCGAGAAACTTGTTCGGCACCACATCCAAGTTGTGGATCACAAGGTAATCGGCCTTTGAAATCAATTCTTCATCTACTAGGTCCATCTTATGCTTGGCCACAACTTCTGCAATCTGATCAAGCTCAGAATCATCATTGAGCACGAGCACGCAAATTGACGCTCCTGCTAGATTGAACACTGGCCTGTCCCACATTCTTGCAATCTTCCCCAACTTCTTGGAATTTTCATCATCCCGCTGCCTTCGTCGGGCCAGCTTTTCGTCCGCTTCAGCGATGAGTTGTGCGTCAGCCAGTTCTGCTGGCAACAGCTGTTGGTTGTAGGCATCCTTCATGAACTCCCAGTGCTGGTTTTGAAGCTTTTCCAACTCTTTCTCATGAACTTCTTGCCATGCATCTAGTCCTGCTTCTTCAGCATGTTCTAGCAGTTCTTGTTTCTTTCGCTGCTGGTGGCTGTCGCTCACCTGCAGTCATGGTCAGGCTCAGCAACACTAAGGGTGCTACGTCAACATTTGTATATACATATACGCCCCATATATTCCCAAACAAGCTTAGGCTAATTTTCTCGATCCCCCCAGCCTGCTCCACTTCAATTTTCCGTTTGCGATGAAAGGCTGTTTCCTGGCCAGCTGAGTCAACACTGCATCGCAATCGCTTCCACCGAGTGTTCTGCGCATGCTTCCGGAACTCGCCGTACATATCAATCCACAGCTGCAATCCCCTCCGCACTGCGGTGTCGCGTGCATCTGCGGGAGCTAAAACGACTCTGAACAAGCAGTTTTGCAAATCTTTGGCCATGCTTTGCCTGTATGGTCCCAAAGAGCGGACAATCTTGGAAAAGGTTTGCTCTACTCCGCTAGTTGTGTTCCCACAGAAAGCTTGATACCGGCACAATATCTGGTCAATGTTTGTGCACGGATGCTTCTCCCGCATTCTGCGGTCCAGCAGGTGCAAACGTGCTTGTTTCCATGCCTCCTTGGAGGATTTCACTTTCCCATCTTTCCAAAAGCTGCAATGCATTGACGCGAATGTGGTGAAATTCAGAGGTCAAAGCATCAGTGTCTTCGACCCCAAAAATGCCTGCAAGCTGTTGAAGTTTAGAGCCAGCTGCGTCACCACGCGCCATGCCAAGGTCGAAAACCTCAAACAAGTGCAACGCACGCCAGGATGGAAATTCAACCTCAATCCTCTCAGTGGCAAGTCGTACCCAAACAGCCATGCGGGCAAAGCAGCGGTCAAGAATGTCCCTTTGCACCGCCCCAGCCCCACCCAGGCTTTTGAATACCCCCTCAGGGTGCAACTCGCAGGTGCGCTCTGTGGCCAAGGTGTGCAGCATAAGCTTTGTGTGTCCGACATTCACCACCTCTTTTCTGAGAAAAAGAACGTCAATCCTGTGGAGGAAGTTCGCAAGTACTTTGGGCACTGAGCTGAGATCAAAATTCTCTGTGTCGTGAAACCTGATGACTTCCAAACTTTCAAATGCCGCATCTGCAAGCATTGCGCACTGCACCAGTGACTCAACACACGCATGCCTCAGGAAATCGTTTGCTTTTCGGGCTGGCTCGGTGCCCCGCCGACTGGCAGAAATATGCCGGGCAGTGCGCCAAACGCTGTCAAAACATGTCACGAATCGTCCAAGGGGCTTGGACGCTGAGTCAAAGCGATCGTGCGACAAGCCCAAGTTCTTCACATGTTGGACTTCAGCACCACAGTCACCTGAAACATTCACGCTGAACACGTGCTTCAAGTCTGGGCTGTTCTGGATAACAGAGCAAATCGAATCAGAGGAAGATATATATTGCTCCATGAGTTCAGTCAGATATGGATCAGCTGCCCATGGGTTCCGAGTCAACCGCCTCGCAGCGTGTGTGCTGTCCCTGCACAAAAAGATGGCGTGCGGGAATATGTCACACAAGAGACGTAATGACTTTTGCTCATCGCTGGCTCCATCAGAGTCTATCAGCTCAACACTGTCGCACACATGAAGTAGGAGCTCGTGGTCTCCATCACAAAGATCGTCCAAGATGGACAGGACCCCTGCTTCAATGTCCTCTGACTTAGTGCCCGGGTTGTGACAGAATCCACAAACGCCACGATGAACCACACTGGAATCCAAAGAAGCGCAGGCATACCTCAGGCACAACACTCCTTGCCGTGTATCTTGGTGCAGAGCGATTGTGTACGCCTTTCTCAACACTTCTTGGTCGGTTTTCTTGAGTGCAGTGCCAAGAGCACGTGTCAATCGGCCCACTTTCTCCCGCGAGCCAATTTCGTCGCTGGAAGCAGCCGCAAAGCTGGAACCTTTCCGGCAACTGTCCCAGGCCAACTGCAAAGCAGTGCGCAGCTCAGGTTTGTTGCGCACAGGCTTGTCACTCTCAAGATGATCACTTCCACTTGCCAAATGCTTGACTGCTTCTTGGTGCAAGAAGCTGTCTTGATGCCGCTTTGCATGGCCAAGCTGCAACGAGGAAACTAGCTTCAAGCCACCAACGACCCAAGGATTGTCCGAATCCTTTCCATATTTCTGGGCGCAGGGAAGACACATGACTGAAAAATGAAAGTCTGAAGTCCATCTCCCTGCAATCCAACTTCCCAAATGTGGCTGGTTTGGATCTATCAACAACTCACTGGCCCACTTCTTTTGAACTTTCTGAAAGCGAGCCGCCATCTTGACACATTGCTCGAGCTCTGCCTCGGACACCTTATCATCGCACTCGGACCTTGCAAGCTGGGATGACACGATTCCCACTGTGTCATGCGCCAGCTCCTCACAATCCGAGTCCATGGCGTTGAATGTTAGCTTGAGGCTGTGCACATGCTACAGACACCAAAGCTGCAACTTCTTTCTCGTGCTCTTCACATGATGCATTGAACACTGTAACTATATAATCCAATTCTGGACTGCGTGTTATCCACACTGCGCCTAAAACACACACAACAACAGAATGGCTGCATATAACCTGCGCGCAGACCAATAACCCACCTCTCATCTGAAGGCGGCGATGCCCACTGTTTCAGCAAGCGCCTGGGTCAGTACTTCTGCTGCTAGTGGCCGGACACCAGACCACTACAGACAACAAGAAAACAAAAACAGAGGCAACAAAAACAACATCGAATCGATAGTTTGTCTCCTGCATACCGGACCAGGCACAAAAGTCACAGCAAACAAGAAGAAGAA